GCAACTTATTCCAGTGTTTCACCATCCTGACAGTGAAGAAAATTTTCCTAATGTCCAACCTAAACCTCCCTTGCTGCAGTTTAAGCCCATTGCTTCTTGTCCTATCCTCAGAGGCCAAGGACAACAATTTTTCTCCCTCCTCCTTGTGACACTCTTTTAGATATTTGAAAATGGCTCTCATCTCTCAGGGTATGTCTACACTACCCCGCTAGTTCGAACTAGCGGGGTAGTGTAGACATACCCCAAGGCATTAATGAAAATATTCAATACTACCAGCCCCAGGACTGACTCCTGTTGGACCTGGCTAAATACATCCTTCCAGTTTGACAGTGAACCATCTTGAGTATGGTCTTTCAACCTAGACGTGTGTCCACCTGATGGACATTCACCAAGACCACATTTCCCTATGAGAATGTCATGTAGGACTGTGGCAAAAATCTTACCAAACTCAAGATATATCACATTTCCTTCTTCCTCTTTATTCACTTGGCCAGTAATCCTGTCAAACAAGGAAATGAGGTTGGATTGGGATATGTTCTTTATAAAACATGCAGGCTATTCCGTATAACCCTATTATCCTCTTCATGCTTACAAATTGTCAGCTTAATAAATTGTTCCAGTATCTTTCCTGGTATTGAAATTCAGCCAACTAGTCTGTAATTCCCCAAGTCCTCTTTGTTACCCCTTTGAAAGCTAGGTAGTATGTTTGTCACATCTCTAGTCCTGTGGGATCTCATCAATCCTCCATGAGTTCTCAAACATAATTACTCAAACAGAGCTTAAACACAGGAGCAAGACACGTAAAGCCATTCTTCCACTCTACTCTGTGCTAATTAGGCCTCAATGGAAGATCTGTTTAAGAGATGTTTAAGAGGAGGTTAGACAGATATCTGTCAGAGATGATCTAGACAGTGCTTGGGACTGTTGTGAGGGCAGGGGACTGGACTCAATGACCTCTCGAGGTCCCTTCCAGTTTTAGTGTTCTATGATTCTATGAAAGAGATTTAAGTTGCTCCTCACATCGGCCGTCCAGTGGAAGTTGCCCTTCACACAGCTTTGCCTGAAAGCATTAGAGCTGAAAGCATGATGCTGTGGGGGGATATTTCGGGGAGGGGATTGCTGCATGCTGTGGGGGCGGGGAGGGAGGCTGAGATGAGAGAGCTTTCTGTCAGGCTCACCTGAGGTAAGTAGGCCTCTGAGGACTCATCCCACAAGGTGGTCCTCTTAATGGGCCAAATGCTTGTTTGCAAGCCCATTCAGGGTACGTCTAAACTACATGGCTCCGTCGACGGAGCCATGTAGATTTGTTTGTTCGGCAAAGGGAAATGAAGCCGCTATTTAAATAATCGCGGCTTCATTTAAATTTAAATGGCTGGCCCGCCCTGCCGGTCAGCTTTAAACGTAAATGGCTGCCCCGCTCTGCTGATCAGCTGTTTGTCGGCAGAGCGGGGCAGTCTAGGCGTTCCCCTGTCGACAGAAAACCCTTTTGTCGACCGTCCCGTTATGCCTCGTGGGATGAGATTTACCGGGGTGGTCGACAAACAGCTGATCGGCAGAGCGCGGCAGCCATTTAAATTTAAATTAAGCCACGATTATTTAAATCGTGGCTTCATTGCCCTCTGCCGATCAGCCTAATCTACATGGCTCCATCGATGGAGCCATGTAGTTTAGACACACCCTCAGAAACACGAGGGGTGAATAATTGGTCTCATTTATATGTAGGAAGATCTCATCTTCTATAATTCCCATCCTAGGGATCCTCAGCTCATGACACTATCACACAACAGAAATGTGTCCTACTCAGTGCGGACTGTTCCCATGGCGTGTCCCGTTATCTGTTGCCACAGACCCCCCTTCATTAGCGCAGGGGGGAGAGAGCTAACGTGCTACCCAACGATGGCTTCTTGGACCAGCTAGACTCCTGAGGTGGAAGCCTTGATTAAATATACCTGCAGGCAGAACTCACCATCCGCGTGGTTCAGCACGCTGTGCATGTGCTGATCGTGCTGTGGTGCCGTGCCGGACTATACTCTACTCACCCGGGGCAAGTAGATTACCTAAATTGTCGAGCCCTGCCTGTAGGAGAAAGAACGCGTGGGCCTGGTAAGCAAAATTTCCTTTGGATACATGAACTAAAGTAAGCAAAGGTTATACTATGAGGAATAGACAGGCTGTGTTAAAAGCAAATGTTTGCCTTTAAGTTAGTGTCTCTTGGCACTAGAACTGCTAGCACTGATAAAAGCACATGAAGTATGTAACTACGCGCCATCAGGGCAGTACAGGGACACCCAGCTGAGTACGTGATAAAATAGTTGAAAACAAGAGTGAAAGCATAACAGTGGGCAGTGAATGCTTTGGAGAAAAGTACAAGGGGAAGCACCAACCGTGTCATCAGTGCATAAGATGATACGTACGGTATGTATCATAGAGTGTTTATTTTTATCTATAAATATTAGAGCACCTTAACTTAATATTTTGGCCGGCCTAGGGGGTGATAGTGAAATTCATATTATTGATTGAGCCGGGTCCATTGTTCCGGGTACAAATTTGTAGGGGCTCGCAGGCCATCTGGCTACCGACACCTATGAATGTATTTCGTTCAATAATAACCCTGACGCGGGTGCCTTTGTATTTTATTTGAGTCTGTGGTCTTTGAGGGCTCTTGTAAAGTCTATGATACTAGCTCTCTGCGCAGCGCTGGCATGATATACTGAGGGAGCATATGAAAACGCACGCCGCTAAATGTTTATCATCACTGACGGAGCAGGAGACCTGTCAGAACGCCACATCGGTAAATCCTGAATTGACTGTTTCACTGGCCTGAATTGCTACAATACCAAGACTCATTACAAATGCCAAGCTAGCAGCTTTCTCCAGTGCTTCCTGCCTGGCTTCGAGCCCGTATCACATTAGCTTGGCGCTCCTGCAGGGACCACTCCTAACATGCGCTCTGTCGGGTGGAAACCTGAGCACAAAGCCTTTCACTGCAGGCTCTTGCTAACATTAGGGCATCTCCATTAGGTCTTCTCCTGTAGGTCATGCCAAAGACTCATGGCGAGGAGAGGGTGCCGGTCTCTAATAACAGGCAGCCATGAAACACAAGAAGCTCCAGAGCACATGGCTGCAGCCTTTGCGGGGGCAGGGCAGGCAGGGAGGCTGATTCAGGAACCGCTGCTGGCTGGTAAGTCTCCTGGAAGATCCTACTTCTGGCACCCCAGTCCCGCCCTTCCCCAATCCTCTGCCCCCCACTCCTGCCACCTACTCCACATACCCAAATCTTCTGCCCCCTTCCTGTACCCATACCCCCTCCTAGATCCAGCACCTCAATCCCCTACCCCAGATCACAGTCCCCCTCTGCCCTAGCTCACAACCCGAATCTCTGCAGCCCCTCCTGTACCCCAATTCCCTGCCCTAGGTCACAGTTCAACCCCCTGCACCCCAGTCCAGTGCCCTAGGTCACAACTGCCTCCTTCACCTAAACTTCCTCCCTTACCCCAAGCTCCCTTCTGCACCCAACCTCCATCCCAGAACCCGCACCTCGTCCATTAATATCATGTAAGAGGGCAGCCCTCAACCTCTTTCCAAATTCTTGGAGTGGCCCCCCATCAAAAATTATTGCCCACACTTGCCTTAAGAGCACCCAGGGGATCTGAAGCAGAGAGTGGCTACTATGGCTCTCAGGTGGGTGGGTGGACAACTGATGTGCATCCTCTCTAACTCTTCTCTGAGGCAGGAAGTATGTTACTCCTTGTTCTGCTCCCCCACGGGCCCTGAGGGCACATCTACACAACAAGGCTAAACTCTAAATGACCTACGCAACTTGAGCAACACTAATTGCGTCGCTTAAGTCAATAGAGCTTATTTCAAATTTGGGCACGTCTACGCAGCACATATTGCGAAATAGAGCATCTTCCTCCGACTTCCCTTACTCCTCATCCAATGAGGTTTACCGAAGTCGGAGTGAGAAACCCGTCATTTCAAATGTATTTCAAAATAATGGGCTTGCTATGTAGACGCACAATACATTATTATGGAATAACTGATGTTATTCCGAAATAATGCTGCTGTGTAGACGTACCCTGAGAGACAGCAGGGTTGGCTGGTGAAAGCCTAACGTGAGGTTCCAAAGATCTGTATGTGGCTACGTCTAAACTACACCCCTCTGTCACCAAAGGGATGTAAAGTAGATGTTTTGAAAGTGCAAATGAAGCAGGGATTTAAATATCCCATGCTTCATTTGCATAATCGAGTTCTGGCGCTGTTTCGAACTAGCGCCATTTCAAAACTGAAACCGCAGTTTAGACGTGGTTTTGCTGACAGCGGGCTGATTTTTTGACAGATCCTGTACTCTTCGTTTTTTGAGTGCAGCATCTGTCAAAAAATTACTCCGCTGTTGGCAAAACCGCGTCTAAACCGTGGTTTCAGTTTCGAAATGTTCTCGGCCTTGCTGCGTGTCTCAGGGAAAGACGAGAAAACTGAGTTAGGAACTGTCTCTTACCTCGCCAATCTAAATCAAACAACTTAGACCAGGATGGCTTATGTCTGGTGCATGAAAATATTAGCAAGAAAACCAACACAAAGAATTCTTTAGCAACCCAGAGTGAAAGGCGAAATTCCGTCTATTGGTTGGAGCCACATATGTTCCGTGACTGACCAGCTGTGGGATTTGGGGGTGTTGAGCATGTTTCTCCCCTTTCTCTCCTCTTGATTTTCACATTTATAAACTGAAGAGAGTAATACCTACTTAACCTGCCGGACTTTGCTAGGCAATGCTTATAAATCTGTTGGAGGAGCTTAGCTGGAGGCAATGAGAGAAAAACAAAGTATTAGCAAGATGAAGCTGCACACTCAATCCAACTGCTCTCAGTTATGCTTCTCCCCTTACAACTTTAATTAAAGATTTAAAAAAAAACCTAAGTATTTTCCTTATCAGCGTGGATGGGATTTTTCTTCTGTAGGTGAGAAGATCAAACCAATGAACCGGTGGCTGCTTTCATTAATTTTTCACTATGTGCATCGTCCCTGGGATAATTACTCATCCTGAAATGCACCTCCTTGACCCAAACCAGCTGAAGCAGAAATACTGATGTGCAAGAAAAAACAATCAGAGATGTTACCGCCGAGCCTTACAATGTGACTGGGGTGTCAATATCACAACAAATCAGCTGACATTTACATCGCAATTTGAAGATGCAGAGGATGCGAGCTCCGGGCGGGCCAAAAGAACAGTGAGTGTGGAGCACACGCCGTACCAGCTGGAGGACCTGGTGTGGTGTAGGGTGCCCCCATGACCTTGGCGCTTGGTGGGAGCGGAGGCACGTTGCATCTTGGTTGAAATCAACGCAGAGCTTGCAGCCTGTAAAATCAGAGGCGTTTATAGGTTTATAGGGCTGCATGGCTGGATGTCAGAAAGGCTTCCTGGACTATAAAGAGAAGGGAGGAGCCATTAGGTTATCCATCACTGAGCATACTCTGATATATGCTAGTGAGCTCTAATTGATATTTCGGCCGAGGTTGTAGCTTGCCAAAGTTAAATCTTGGGCACGGGAAAGTATGTTGGATTGGGTGTTAACGTTAAGGCTTCCCTGCAGTGTAGATGCGCTATTTCAAAATAAGCTGTTTCGGAATATATCTTCCGGAATAGCTTATTCCGAAATAAGGGTACGTTTAGACAACAGGCTTTTGTCGACAGAAGTTTTGTCGACAGATACTGTTGACAAAGCTTCTGTCGATAAAGAGCGTCTAGACTACATCCCGTTCTGTGGACAAAGCAAGCCGCTTTGTCGACATGAGACTGTAGACGCAAAGGACAGTGTAGATGCAATAACGCCTTCTGTCAACAAAACTCTGTCGACAAAAGGCGTTATTCCTCGTAGAATGAGGTTTACTGCCGTTGACAAAACTGCTGAGTTCTGTCGACGTCATGTCGACAGAACTCAGCGGCAGTGTAGATGCAGGTATCGTTTTGTCGACAAAAGTCCACTTTTCTCGACAAAACCCTGTAGTCTAGACACACCCCAAGTGTTCAGCGTATATGTACCCTTGCGGGCCCCACCTTCTGCACTTGAAGTACCAGAGCAGGGAACAGGAACAGACGTGCACTGTTAAATTCGTTGCTAATCCTAAAGCCTCAGGAACTATAGGCAGGTCCATGATGGGTTTCTGCCATTGTGAAGGAGAATTTGACCGTCTATGTGCTCAGAACTCCATTGCAGCTGGCATGCCAGCACAAGCGTAGATTTCAGCCTCATTGGCTTGATTAACAAAGCGTTATTAAGCCTCCTTTTACAGATTGTGAATTACTCTTCTCCCTGTCTACTAAGAACAACGGTAGCATTATCGGCAGAATACCAACATTTGTCATTCTTTGTCAAAAAAAATGAACCCACAACCTCCTCTCCCCGCCCGCCCCATTTCTGATTTTCTTTTAAGCTACTTTACCTTAGTAGGGGGCCATTTCTTTCAGGAGCTACTAAGATTCACTCTCTCAGCTGCAAGCTTTAGTTCCCGGGCTCCGCTGGAGAAGGAGTGCTCGCCTTGCAAAGACTTTTGCAGAGGCTGTGATAAGAAAAGAAGCATGAAAAGAAATAGGCTTCAATTGCAACCAGGTTTTAACAACGGAGACAGTAATGGAAGTGTAAATAAAAACGAGTGCTATGAATGGCCCCATATGGGCTGGAGCGGCTGCATAATACAGCAGAGTGTTTATGGGCATTGTATAAGTGGAACTACCTAGATTTTATTGTCTGCTCTTGAGCTGCAAGTTTCTTTCTTGGGCAATTTACTCACTTCCGAAGGAAAATTCAGATCTGAGGCCAGGTCTGTACTTACCGCGCCGGAGATTGATTTTCTGGGGTTCGATTCAGTGGGTCTAGTAAGCGGGTTCTGTAATAGTCTCATTTCTTGCCTCTTGTCATAATACTTGGTTCCCTCGTTGGGACGCTGTAGCGAGCAGGGGTGGCCGCTCACTGACCCCGAGGAGGAAGAACCCCTCTCTGAGGCCGGGTGGGCTGAGACAGACACTGCCCCTTTAAGTTCGCAGAGGCCTAGGGACGGGGCAGGAAGTATAAAAGCCCAGCCCAGGAGCTCAGAAAGGCCCGAGCTGCTGGAGGGAGCAGAGGCCTATGCTGAGCTCTCATTCTTAGGCCTCTGGAAGAGGTGGATGACTGGCCCGGACTGCCAGGCCCAGGCACCGAAGAGGAGACTTTCTGTGCTCTGCCCCACATGCAGCGTATCTGGACCCTGCAAACCCGCTGCTGACCGTGAGCCAGGGACAGACAGAGGGGGAGTTCGGAAGTGGACCAGGGGAAGCAGAGGATGGTCAGGTGGATCTGACAGCCAGTTGACGTGTGTCGGTGTGTTTCAGAGTGGATTCCCCATTGACCCAGAGCCCTAGGCCAGGACGTGGTGGAGCAGGGAGGGCCCACCTCCCCCCTTCCCCCGTATATATCGGGTGGCAGTCTCTCCCTCCCCACTTGTGCCGGGACGCTATTTACATGCCTGCCCCGCCCTGAACCAGGGCCTGGGCTGTATTGACAGTGGACTGGTGCCAGTGTTGTAGCTTGCCCCGCCCTCTGGCCCCACCATCTTAAAGGGGACGGCAGACTAGTAGTTAGAGGCCTGAGGACCAGTCAGGGGCCCAGGATTAAGCGAGACCGCTTACAGATGCTCAGGTCGTGTGAAAGCTAGGCCACTTAAGCACTGTTATTTATGTTATTGTAGAGTGTCGGAGCTGGGGTGCTCATGGTCTAGCACCACATGGTGGTAGGTCCTATACAAATACAGCACAACAGCAACAAAAAAACAGGCCCTGACCCGTAGGTCCCTTAATATTTATTGTCTGGAATGTGACAGCATCTAGGGACCCCAGTCAGGGTCTCGCCGTTCTACCTGCTGCACAAGGAGGTATCAAAAGCTGGACTTTGCCCTGAAGAGGCTCTCACGCACGAACACCTCGCCCTATTTGTCACGCCAATGCCAACAGGCTTCTGACGCTTGGGTGGGATCGTTAGACACTGCTCTGAGCAAATAAAAAGCCACTGGAGCATATCACAGCTAACGTGAGACTATCTGAGCCGTCACTGGTGGCTTTTATCTCAGAGCTTCTCTCAGGTACCGGTAATTCGAATACACCTGCCATTCTGTTATCTAGACCCTCATAGACATTTGGCTTGCAAGTGCAGGCCAGATTGATTGTCCATTGGCCAGGGCTGGCCCACAACATTTTGGCACTTGAGGCGGGGAGCTCAAATGATGCCCCCATGCCCCCTTTTCTCCTGCCTGCCCGTTATGTCTCTTGTGCCCTCCTTCCTCCAGCACAGCACTCCTCCATCTCTGCTCATCTAGAGCAGAGAGAATACATCTGCACCAACAGCAGACACAATTTTCTACACAATTTTCTACACAGTCTGGCATCTGATCGCCTCATGGTAAGGTCAGCCCTGCCATTGGCTACATGAACATGGGGAGGGGGGCATTAATGAGGTTAGGTTGCCTCCTTTCCAATTTGCTCGTCTCCCACCAACCCCTTCTTGAATAATTTGCTGAATTATTTACATGGCAATCCCATAACCAGGCTACGTCTACGCTGGCACCTTTTTCCGGAAATGCTTAAAACGGAACAGTTTTCCATTATAAGTATTTCCAGAAAAAGAGCGTCTACCTTGGCAGGATGCTTTTCCGGAAAAGCCCTTTTTCCGGAAAAGCGTCCGTGGCCAATGGAAACGCGTTTTTCCGGAAAAAAGCCCCGATCGTCATTTTCGTGATCGGGGCTTTTTTGTGGAAAAGACTACTGTGCTGTCTACACTGGCCCTTTTCTGGAACAGTTTTCCGGAAAAAGGACTTTTGCCCAAGCAGGAGCAGCACAGTTTTTCCAGAAAAGCAGCTGATTTCTTACAGTAGATCGTCAATGCTTTTCCGGAAATTCAAGGGGCCAATGTAGAAGCTCACAGCTTATTCCGGAAAAGCGGCTGCTTTTCCGGAATAAGTGGCCCAGTGTAGACACAGCACTAATGTATGATTGACTGCAGCATCTTACAAGTAATGCAGTGAGGGGATGAAAAGTTCAGGGGACCTCCACGGCTCCTGTGACATTTCTGGCCAAGGTGTAAATTTACATAAGGACAAGGGTCACCAAATGAAATCAATAGGTATCAGGTTTAAATATGATGGGCAGGCCACACAGCATGGCTCACGGACAATAGGTGGACCGCAATTATTGCTGAGTGGTACCCGCAAGAACAGAAAAGACCACCCAGTCGGCCTCCAAGAAGATGGGAAGATGACATTGTTAAACGTTTTGGACGAACGTGGAGAAGAAAGGCAAGACTGCGAGAAGCATGGTGGACGTGTTGTGATCAGCGTGGTCTTAATGATAGCTGAAGACTGTTCGATCCAGGTGATCAAGTTTAAAACAAACAAAAGGAAATGCTACTTCCCGCAATACACAGTCAACCTGTGGAACTCCTTGCCAGAGGAAGTTATGAAGGCCAGGACTTTAACAGGGTTCAAAAAAGAGAGAGATAAATTCATAGAGGATAGGTCCATCAATGGCTATTAGCCAGGGTGGGTAGGAATGGTGTCCCTCGCCTCTGTGCACCGGGCATTGGCCACTGTCAGAAGACAGGACACTGGACTAGATGGGCCTTTGGTCTAACTCAGTGTGGCCGTTCTTCTGTTCTTAGGTTCTTATGTCCATAATCTGGAGATGGAGGGAGGCATTTGTGAAGAGAGCTTTGAAATATAGCCAGGCCCAGTTGCATTCATCAGGCTGATACAGGATGAGCCCGCCAGAGTGGGAATGAAAAAAAGGATTCTCCAAAGAGAGATAAAGAATATGAAAAATAAATGTCATCGGAAGTGGCCGCTTGGGCCCAGCCACTTATGCAAAGAGGAGCCAGGTTCTTGGAGAGGCAATTCAACATGGTCTTCCGGGAAATGCGGAATTAAAAAAAGCAACAGCTGATGTAAGAAAGTGCAGCCTTTCTTATGCCTCATATTGATGCGCCTCTGTCCAGCCTCCCGAGAATTTCTGTGGCTTATGCCAAAACACAAAGCAAGAGAAGGAAGCTTTCAATATTCTTTTAACCCAGCTGATCCAAACCATGTGAAGGAGCAGCTGACAATGGGTAATGATCCCAGGAAGGGAACTGGCCTGATAATTGAGTGAACTCGTGACGTTGCAGGGAAAGAAGCCTCGTTATGGTGCCCAAGATGTGTGGTTTGGAGATAAACACTCCTGGCTGTGTCTACACTGGGCCACTTATTCTGGAAAAGCAGCCGCTTTTCCGGAATAAGCTGCGAGCTGTCTACACTGGCCCCTTGAATTTCCGGAAAAGCACTGACGATCTACTGTAAAATTGTCAGTATTTTTCCGGAAAAACTATGCTGCTCCCGCTCAGGCAAAAGTCCTTTTTCTGGAAAACTGTTCCAGAAAAGGGCCAGTGTAGACAGCACAGTAGTCTTTTCCGGAAAAAAGCCCCGATCGCGAAAATGACAATCGGGGCTTTTTTCCAGAAAAGCAAGTCTACATTGGCCATGGACGCTTTTCTGCAAAAAGGGCTTTTCCGGAAAAGCATCCTGCCAATGTAGACGCTCTTTTTCCGGAAATACTTATAACGGAAAACTGTTCTGTTTTAAGCATTTCCGGAAAAGGGTGCCAGTGTAGACGTAGCCTCCTCAGATTAGCACAGAAACATCTGCACTACTGGGGAGCATGATTCCATTCCAAAGTCACAACAAAACAGAACTGAGATGTTGAGGGAAAGGAAGTGAAACTCACAATAAACATGCCCATAAGATTCATAGAATCATAGAAACATTAGAACTGGAAGGGACCTCGAGAGGTCATGAAGTCCAGTCCCCTGCCCTCCTGGCAGGACCAAGCACCATCTAGATCATCCCTGATAAATGTCTGTCTAACCTGCTCTGAAACATCTCCATTGATGGAGATTCCACACCCTCAGGAGACTAGGTTACCCAATGCTAAACTGCTGTCCAAAATATAGCAAGGGAACAGACTTATTCCAGAAAAAAACAACTTCATTCAAGATGGGTAGAGAATTATATTCCCATAATTCATAAAACCGGGAAACCCCTGTTGAGCAAAACCTATTAAATAGTGAAGAAATGTCTGTGGGTCTGATATTCCAGAGAGGCAGAAAACAGTTTTGTGATTTCAGCAGGGGGAAGGCCTCACCTGTACGACCCCTTAAAACAGAGGCCCCTTTAGTAAGGGGACTACACCATGTATTAGCATCGTGCTTAAAAATCCACTATGGAACAATGCGCTAAACAATGCTCTACTAGTGAATCGAGCTCCAACCCCACCATAGACCACGTTTCCCTCCATTAACTATAACAACGATGTTCTACTGAGACAACCTCTAAGAGGGGAGCCGTGTTCGTCTGTAACTTTAAAAACAATGAGTAGTCCTGTGGCACCTTAGGGTGTGTCTATAGAGCAGTGTTGTTTCACAATAATGGCCGTTATTCCAAAATAACAATGCAAGGGTTTACACCGCAATTCCATCATTCTGAACGCTGAATAAACATTATTT